GCCTGAGGGGCAGAACCGGGTCTGAGGGGGGGATCTGAGTCTGAGGGGGGGAACTGAGTCTGAGGCAGGAACCTGGGCCTCATGGGGAAACCGGGTATGGGGGGTGGAACTGGGCCTGAGGGGTCGAACCCGGCCTGAGGGGTCAAACCGGGTCTGAGGGGTCCTGCTCAGGCCTGGGGGTCGCACCTGCCCCGGGGATTCTGCCCCAGGCCCGGGGTCCCCTCCCTGCCCGGCCCTCATCCCCTGTGAGTCACAGCAGCCTCGTCCTGCACCCCCCACCCAGGAGACACTGCCGGGTTTTAAGTTACAACCACCAAAACATCCCAAAAAGATATGAATATAACTCCAAATATGTGATCTATAACCCCAAGACAACCCCTAAACCTGTTATTTTGCAGTACCTTGAGACCCACTCACCTCCCACCTTGAGGAGGAGAAAGAACTGCCAGAAAAGAGTTTTGACTTAAATAACCTTTTTTTTTCCTTTGGTTTTTATCCCATTTTTAATTTATACAATAAAAAATCACTTTATGGCACCCGGGGGCAGCAGATCCCTGAAGCGAAGGACGACGGCCGGGGCTCCGTCAGCACAAGAGGCACCAAAATCCAGAGGATTTGTCCCAAAAGGGCCGAGCGTGAGGTGAGGGAGGGACAGGGGGCTTTGGCAAAGCTCGGGGGGGGTCCCGTGTGACCCCCACCCCACCCCCCCATCCAGCCTTTTCTGCTGAAAAAAGCTAAAAAAAGGGAAAAACCGGCGCGGGGTCCTGGAAGGCACTTGGAGAGTCCGGTCAGGCGAACATGGTGAGCTGGAGCCACTGGGGAGGAGGAGGAGGAGGAGGGCCCATGGACCCCAAAATCAGCACCCAAAGGAGCAGGGGTCACCCAAAACACCCCCATGGACCCCAAAATCAGCACCCAAAGGAGCAGGGGTCACCCAAAACACCCCCATGGACCCCAAAATCAGCACCCAAAGGAGCAGGGGTCACCCAAAACACCCCCATGGACCCCAAAATCAGCACCCAAAGGAGCAGGGGTCACCCAAAACACCCCCATGGACCCCAAAATCAGCACCCAAAGGAGCAGGGGTCACCCAAAACACCCCCATGGACCCCAAAATCAGCACCCAAAGGAGCAGGGGTCACCCAAAACACCCCCATGGACCCCAAAATCAGCACCCAAAGGAGCAGGGGTCACCCAAAACACCCCCATGGACCCCAAAATCAGCACCCAAAGGAGCAGGGGTCACCCAAAACACCCCCATGGACCCCAAAATCAGCACCCAAAGGAGCAGGGGTCACCCAAAACACCCCCATGGACCCCAAAATCAGCACCCAAAGGAGCAGGGGTCACCCAAAACACCCCCATGGACCCCAAAATCAGCACCCAAAGGAGCAGGGGTCACCCAAAACACCCCCATGGACCCCAAAATCAGCACCCAAAGGAGCAGGGGTCACCCAAAACACCCCCATGGACCCCAAAATCAGCACCCAAAGGAGCAGGGGTCACCCAAAACACCCCCATGGACCCCAAAATCAGCACCCAAAGGAGCAGGGGTCACCCAAAACACCCCCATGGACCCCAAAATCAGCACCCAAAGGAGCAGGGGTCACCCAAAACACCCCCATGGACCCCAAAATCAGCACCCAAAGGAGCAGGGGTCACCCAAAACACCCCCATGGACCCCAAAATCAGCACCCAAAGGAGCAGGGGTCACCCAAAACACCCCCATGGACCCCAAAATCAGCACCCAAAGGAGCAGGGGTCACCCAAAACACCCCCATGGACCCCAAAATCAGCACCCAAAGGAGCAGGGGTCACCCAAAACACCCCCATGGACCCCAAAATCAGCACCCAAAGGAGCAGGGGTCACCCAAAACACCCCCATGGACCCCAAAATCAGCACCCAAAGGAGCAGGGGTCACCCAAAACACCCCCATGTACCCCAAAATCAGCACCCAAAGGAGCAGGGGTCACCCAAAACACCCCCATGTACCCCAAAATCAGCACCCAAAGGAGCAGGGGTCACCCAAAACACCCCCATGTACCCCAAAATCAGCACCCAAAGGAGCAGGGGTCACCCAAAACACCCCCATGTACCCCAAAATCAGCACCCAAAGGAGCAGGGGTCACCCAAAACACCCCCATGTACCCCAAAATCAGCACCCAAAGGAGCAGGGGTCACCCAAAACACCCCCATGTACCCCAAAATCAGCACCCAAAGGAGCAGGGGTCACCCAAAACACCCCAGTGTACACCAAGATCTCCCCAAAATGGAGACCACCCATGAAGAAATATCCCAAAATCTTCACCCCACACCCCGACAGCCCCAAAAAAGGGAGGAAAACAGTATGAGGGGGGTCTCCAACGAGGAGAGAGACCCCTAAAAACGGGGGTCACCCATGAGAGAGACCCCAAAAGCCCCCCCCCCCGAACTCCAAATCCCCCAGGAGCCGGGAGAGCCCCCAGACCCACCAGGTAGTTGCGGATGCGGTTCCAGAGGACGTTGAACTCCACCAGCCCCAGTTTCCCGTTCCCGTCTTTCTGGGGGAGGGGGGTTAAGGAAAGGGGGGCTCCAGGGGTCCCCCCAGAGCCCCCCCAGCCCACGGCCACAGGATACGTCCATCAGGTTCACCATGCTCCGGCAGGACTCGATGCTGAAGCCCTTGGTCCGCAGATCTTTGTCTGGAATTGGGAATTTCGGGCGTTAACGAGGGACGGGGTGTTAATGAGGGGGGCGGGGTTAATTGGGGTGGAATCCCCCCCCAAATCCCGGCTCACGTTTGGCGATGATGCGGTTGAGGATGGTCTGGAGCTCGGTGACGCTGATCTCCAGGTCCTGGGGAGGGGACACGGGGTGGTCCCGGTGTCACCGCCGAGCAGTGACATCATCGGCAACCAATGACTT